GTGAGCCCTCCTGGCCCGGTCCTGGACTTCACGGCTCAACAGGGACAAGGGTTCATTGCATAGCTTTCAGTACCCTCTGAAAAAACTGTAAGACTGGTACCACACAACATCACCACAACAGTTCTGACCTGCGATACCCCCAAACACCATCTAAGGCATCAGTGACCAGTGCTCAACTAACCTCAACCTACGATAAAGTCATTGCCTGCTCTGCCTCTCCCTCCGTGACCATCGAGAGGACCACCTCACCCAAAACAGCTCAGTTATGTGCAAAGAGTCATCACAAACTTCCTCAGGATTCTCAGAAGCACCAAGTACAAATAGTTAGAAGAAATCATAGAAGTTAGAAGTATGGAACCTGTAAGGGCAGTAAAGACATCTTTTTAGCAAAGATTCAACAACCTTATCGATGACAAGTGATCAAATCGAGCCCAAGACCCAAGTTACAAATGTTCTCTCCTCCTCCTATACATTGCTGCCAGTTAGCTCTAAACTATGGTGACAGTACTAGTGAAGTACTTGAAACTGGCAGTACCAAGGGATTCACCTCTCAAGGGATGTAACACACAAACACACAAAAAAACCCAAAACACCAAAAAAAGGGGCTATGCATGTAACTGGAAGAATGACATGCTTAAGCTCTAGTATAAAGATATCCCATGGATATCAGCATGCACTGAATATGTTATTAAAACCAAACACTCAATTTTAAATTGTCTAACCAAATCCCTCTTCTGTTCTCCACATTTTTATTTTCCATTCTGAGATGCTATAGTTTCCTTTGCATTTTTATTATTGTACTTATTTCAAAATTATTTCCTAAGTCAATATAAGAGTCTAGCAGACTCACCCCAACCACTCCAAAAGGGTTGCACACATTAACAAGTATTACTGCAAGTAATAACGATCTCTTTTAAGAGCAGATATGTTCTTTGTCTTTCTCTCCAATACAGTCTTGAGGATGGTGGTTTGTTTTTTTAGTTTTTGTTTTATTTAATACAACATACGAGATAATTGGTAGCAACTGGAAATTTTTTGTGGGGAGAGTCAGTTTCTCATGGGGTGAGGGAGGGTTAAGCCTCCAGTTCCAATAAACAGCTTTAGGCCTCACTGTTACTACTCACAGCTTCTCTACTCTTCCACAAAACAAGACAAGCCAACCTGTTGTAAAATTCTGCAAGAAGCAAAAGTTCACTCCGTTGAAGTCTGTCAAAGTTACCACAAATGAACTCTACGCTTCCAAACACAGTTCTATTTAGAGATCATCTTCACAACAATAATGGGCTAGAAAATCTTTTAAAAGCAAACCAAATTCAACACAGGTTAGCAAGAATCTCCTGAAAAACTACCTTGTTTGCCAAAAATGTTTCAAGCACTGATTACAAAGTTTGACACTAAGAATCATTCTTTTCAAATTAAAAAGTATCATATACTACAGACAAATCAACCTCTTTTTGAAACCTGCTGCATCTCCAAGATGAACTGGGCATATGAGCACACTGGTTGCATCTGATGGCACATGCTCCCAGTAGCACACAAACAAGTTCGAAAGATACACTTCAGCGAAGTTTCATTTTAAAACATAAGAAAAATGCATTAAAAAGACTAGATTTGCCATCTTGCTGATTTAAAATGCCTTTACAGATTATAATGCAACATGCTATACGTGCTTAATCACAGCAAAAGCTGTGTGGCAGGGGAATCACACCTTTAGCTGGTTCAGAAGCAGTAAGCAATTAATGCCTGTATAAGCTAAAAGATTCTGTCATGTGAACTACATACGAAAATAACTGAAGTACAATTGCTTCTAACATGCTCTTACATTGATAGTATTGCTCATCACAAGAAGATTTCAGCATACAAAGTTAAAGTACCATTTAAAATTTACTCCGAAGTAAAATTTTCCCATGATGATGGATGCCCCCTTCTCATTGCTATCTGTTGGGGATTTTCTGTACCAAAATGAGCCAAGTCCATTGGACTCGTACCTTATTCCTGCAGCTCTGAGTTCTACATCAGAGCTCAGCGTGGACTATTACTGCCTCAAAAAGCAACATGTAGGAAAGCATCCAGCGAGCTTCGCACTTTGATGAAGGTCTGTGAGGATCCCAGCAGGAATGATTGCATATTATGGATTACCAGAATAGAAAGAATATAAAAGCAGTGAAGAAGAAATAGGTAAGTATGGGAGACAAACACTGGGAGTTTGGGAAGCCCAAATTCAATTTCTAGTTCTTACTTCAATGTGAACTTGCTTATGTTAAGAAGGGTTAGATACAGGAAAAAAAAAGCGTTTGAGACTATGAACTAATTTTAGTTTCTTGATCCCTGCATGGAACTAGCATCACTGACAGGTATTAAGGACTCATCAGGCTTCACAACCACCAGCATGCTGAGAGAGGAGCTGCCTGATCAGCAAATAGGAAATGCCAGTGACAAAGGTGTGTCTGAAATCCTGCCTCTCTCCACAGCTTGTAAATGTTGTCCTGGAATTACAGTTACATCCTTTATTCCTTTAAAAGGATATCAGGAATCATTCTTTTCCTTTAAAGCATAACAAAAGGAGAGGCTGGTAATGTTAGGCCCCTTTTTAATACAGTGTTAACAACAAGGGCAACACTCACACTTCAGTCAGGAGACCCAGACTACTGCCTGCAAGCCTGAAACCCACCTCTCGCCACAAGGCAGGCTGACGATGAAGTTATTCCCACTAGAAGATGCAGAGAAATGGCATGTGGGAAAGGAAACAACTACAACCCATAACCCAGTGGGTACAGAGGCCAGTGGGAGCCTGATCTGAAAGCTGACAATTGTTAAATAAAGAAAATAGCTGTTGGTTTTGAACCCATCTCTAATAAGTGGGCTGTAAAGTCATGTTCCCTCCTTCGCTCCCTCTCCAGTCCATGAATATTTAATTCTTTTATGCAAACTGGAAGAGTTGCAATGCAAGGTTAAATTAGCCTAAATAACCTTGAAATCCTTTTGTGAAGTTGGGCCTCTGAGTCAACTCCCAATCTGTAGAGAAATAGCCTTCTTACACAACGAGTTCCGTTGTTAGCCATATTTAAAATACCGTGTGGTGCCATGACAAAAATCTTGAGGTTAAAGCTGATTTGACAAAATTTATACCTCTGGTTCACCTTTCTGTGTTAAGATCCATGCTTTAGCCAGTCCAATTATTCAATAAATGTTTGTTCCTCAATTCTGAATGCAAAATTCTTCCTGGGAAAAGCAATCTGTTACAGTATTCTTGAAATTTTATTTGATAACACAGCACAGAGATATTCTGGCATGTTTTCCTGTTCCCCTAGTTCTTTAAGTGCAAACTTAATATTACTTTTTCTTTTGCTTTATTTTGCAGTAGGCTGAGCTCCCTACAGACTAGCTACAGGTATATGCCAAGTCAGTGTCTCATTCATATGTCATAAAGCAAACAAAATAAATAGACTTCTGGAAGCCTGACAGAGCTACTAGGTTTCACTTTTTAATTCTCAAAGTGTTTTATGAACTTCCTTCAACTCATCATTCACATGGTTGGAGTCAGTGTGGAGAAGTTGTGTCTCAGTGGTCAGCCTATGCAAAAACAGTTTCATGATCTCTCTCCAGGGGGAAAAAAAAAAAAAAAAAGATTATTCTTCACCCTGCCAGCTAATCTTTAAAATCTGGAAACCTTAGACGCTTGCATTTTAAGAGGTAGAAATAAGAAAGAATGTTTGAAAATCCTTATTAGTAAAATCTTTACTAGGATAATGTGTTTGCTTATTGTTATAAATGCTGTTTTAGCACTTGAATGATTTGCCTATTCAGAAAAATAAATTAAATATTCAACACAACTAACAGATTGGAACTCAGCAATGAGCAATGAAGTAATAAGGTGATTTTTCAGATGCCTACAAACTTATACATACACTTATAAGATGGCAAAATGGCACACATAACTGAATGCTGCAGCATAGCTGTCTATTGCATCTTTCTTACAGGTCAGTGACCACTGACTCTGATCCTAGAAACTGATTCTTTCCAAATCTTAGTAACACTATGAATTTTACAATAAACAGACATTTTGATTCAGCCTCAGTATGGATCACTGCCTCCCAATCTTACTAGCCCGTCCCACCTTGCTTTAGGTTTCATTTGATGTTTGTAGCTCACAAGTAGACAAGTGCTGAATCAGTTCATCTCCTGAGGTCCCTGGCAAGTCCTGCCTTCTGTGATCGTAAACCACGTTTACAAACGCAGTCTTCCATTTCTACTAGCATCAAATGAATGACTTGAGTCTAACTGATCTAGTATTTATTCTATAGCATACTTCTCAGAAAGTCCGACAGAATTAAGCTAGCTTCAACAATATTAAAAAAGTTTCAGAACATTCCTCTGCTATAAACCAACTGTTAAACTGGAAAAACAAACAAACAAAAAGCTTGAACATCACAAATCAGACTCATCACAGGTTTTTTTCACTCCCTGTTACAAAGTTACCAATAACCTTTCATTCATCATCTGCTTACAACTTCAAGTAGCATTGTTACTCTTGAAACTAACTGGGCTGTTAATGGGCTTTTGCTAATCACAGGTGAAAGGTCACTCTCATTTAGTAGTGCACTAAGAAATAAGCAAAACACATTGACATGACAGGGAAAGGGATCAGTGTTCAAATACTGACACGGATTATATTAAGTAACAAGTATTTTAGTGAAAGAGAAGATATTATCAGTGCTGGTCATACAGCTTCCTTAGACTATTTACATTCTTTTAAAAAAAAATCCAATTAGAAACACAGCAAAGATGATAAGTAACCTATGCCCTACCTTGTAGTTTTGAGATTATATATTAATTTAATAATAATGCTGGTAACACCACTCACTGACAGGCCGCAAGTCCCAAATCCAAAGTGACAGGACTGAAGTTTCCTTTCTCTTTCCCATGCACGTCCTCTCATAACTAGTTACGAGCAGGAAAACTTCCCCGTGCACTTTTCTTCAAGAACGAATCGCACTCACCTTCTCGGCAAAGTCGCATTGCTTCTCGGTTTCTTCCATATTCCTTGAAACTTTCTTCTAATGCTGTTCCTAAAACCAAAAAGCCGCAAGGTCTCAAATCCACGTGTGGGTTAGAGCATGGGGCTGACCCCCCCCCCGCCCCGCTACTGACCTGTAGCCCATTCCCCCGCAGGAACAAACCAGCACCTCAGGGGTACACGCTCCTACTGCTACAGCAGCAAAGACAGCTTCAGAGGGGGGGGGATCAGCCACCCCGGCCCCGGGAGCGGGGGGGGGGGCTGCCCCAGCCGCTGTCAGCGGAGGGGGGGCCGCCTCACCTGCGGCAGGAGCTTCCCCCCCCGCCCCGAGCCCGGGCTGAATCCAGGGCAGGAGGTTGCCGGCCTCCGGGGAACCGGCTCAGACCTCCGCGTCCCGGATTACAGGAACTGGGGCAAGCGCTGCCCGCTCCGCGCCGTTCCCCAGCCCGCGGCCGGGGGCCGCCGCCGCCCCGGGAGCCGCGTACCGGGCAACGAACTCGGCTGTTGGGGGTGGGGGGGGGAAACGGCCCCAACCCCCTTCACCGGGCCCGGGACCCGCGGCGCCCTCTTGCCGCGTCGTATCGGCGCCCCACGGTCCCTCCCGCGGCGGGGCCGTGCCCGGGGCACCCCACCGTCCCCGCGGGGAGCGAGGACCGGTAGAGGAGGTTGGGGGGGGGGGGTGGGGTGTTGGGGTTGCGGCCGCTCACCGTCGTTCCCGTGAAGTTTAGCAGCATCGACCCAGTGGCTCCAGGGCTGCCCCAGCATCGCCTCGGGGCTGGGCAGGGACCTGCGCTCCCCGACGGCCGCCATTGCCGCTGCGGTGGCGGCGGGGCCGGCGCCGCTCCCGCCTCCTCCGCCTCCGCCTCCCTCGCCGTGGCGGGGCCGCCGCTGCCGCTGCCTGGCCGCCGCCGCGCTGCGCTGCTCCCTTCTGACGTCACCCGCGGCCCGCGCCGACATTCTTTCCGCTGCTATAATGTAACGAGAGAGAGAGAGGAGAGAAAAAAAAAAAAAAAAAAAAAGGAAAAAAAAAAAAAAAAAAAAAAAAGTCAGCGGGCGCTTAAGGTGGCGCTGCGCGCTTTTAAGGAAGCGCCGCGGCGCTGTCAGCCCGCTCGCTCTCGTCCCCGCGGGGAACCTGCGGCCCTGGGGCGGCGTCGACTCACCTCTGCGGCGGCCCGGGGGGCAGGAGCCGGGTGCCCATTATGGTACGGGAAGCGCTCCCTTCCTCGTCACCGCGCAGATGAGGCGTGTTTGTGTGTTTGCGCTAACAAAGCGGCGGAAGGGATTGGGCGGGGGGGGGTGGGGTGGGGTGGGGGGGGTGGCGGAGGGGAGCAGCGCTACACCACCCACCAGGCGCTCCCCGGCTCCACGGGCCGCCTTTCTCTCTCCGCACCGCGGCCCGCGACCCTACAAAAACAACGGCCGCATCACAACCCCGCCTGGCACCCGCTGCCCCCGGGAAGGGGGGCGGAACAAGCGGCGGGGCGGAACCGGACTTGCGCGCCCCGCCCCTCCGCGCCGGTCCACCTTAAACCCGGCGCCTCCTTAAAGGCAGCGGCGAGCAGGAAACTCGCTCCGGGCGGGCGGCGTCCCGGCCGTGTGTGTCCCCCCCCCCCGCCCCCGCCCCCGCCCCCGCACACCCACCCGGGGCCGTGGGGGGGGAACGGACGCCACCCGCCCCGAGCGAGTTTCCTGCTCGCCGCTGTCTTCCTCGTACTCGTCACCTGTCTCCCGGGGGGATCCTTGTCATTGTTATTCCGTGTTTCTTTTTAAACAACAGCATTTTTAATTCCGCCCCCCCCCCGCCTCCCCCTAAACTTCAGGATGACGTTGAGCGGTGTTAAAAGCGAGGATTAAAGGATGCCTTCCAGCCTAAAAAAATCCTAGTAACAAAGTTTAAGCTTTACACAAACAAGTTGATTAAAAAAAAAAAAAAATCAACTTGGTTTTAGAATTCATTTAGTACAGGGCTTTCTCTATATTGACTAAAATGTTCAAGTACCAAAGTCAAATTAAACTCTCAGGCCACGATCTGCAAAGATTTCTGGACACCCTCGATGTCACTGTCAGTAATAACATCTCCAATTAAAAGCTAAAAACATATATAAGGCTGATCTGCTCCCTCCTCTATAGGTACTCAGCCTATGCATAAGCTCGTGAGCATGGGACTCGCACTGTCAGTGGAACTGCTCACAGATTCCATAAGCTTATTTGCAAAACTGGACAGCAGAAATCAAAACTGTAAATAAATTTGTTTAGACTACCTGGTCCCAGCCCTGCAGAGGTGTACATATGTGCAGGTTTGGCTAAGGCTTTGTTATTTTCACTTAAAGTCTGGAACTATAGAAGCTATAGGTGTTTCTTTTCAAATTTATGCATATAAAAGATGTATAAACACAAGCTCATCAGACAATTGTCATACAGGATGGGATAGGTTGTAATTATAAGAATAGTTTCAGTGTTCCACCCAGTTGATAATTTATGTCACACTCAGAATGCATCTTGTAAAATTTCAGATCTAATACAGAATAGCTAGTGAGATTTTCCTCTCTTCTTGGTCACTGCAAATCGAACTTAACTCCTTAATAAAAGGCAAACACCATGAGATAAGGACAGCAACAACGACTTCTACTGAATACATTTGTAGCAGGATTAATAAACCAAGGCTATCAACTTCCCAAGCTGGGCCCTGATCTTTCAGACAGCTACACTTGCTCTGCACTGTACTGTAGCTTCCCAAAACAGTGAAATAACTCTTCATCGTAGTCTGAGCATGAGTAAAGGTGTTTATGAAACCAGAGTCTAAGAATAACTGATGAATGGAGGGCATTACTGTTTGATTAATTATCAAATAGTATACCTTACAATTCAGAAAACTACTTACAATTAAAGCTAAGAACATCACTGAAAGACAAATGTCAGTCAGGTGCTAAACAATGAACAGAACCTAAGCTGTTTTTGTGGTGTAGAAGCCAGATGGGGAAAAAAATCTACGACCAATTTCTTTCAAGATTAGTTCTTCAAGTGCTCCACAAATGAAGTCTAACATAACATCTGTAGCTGTATTCAGAATCCAGCCATAGCATAAGGCAAGTTACAGACAGAACTATATTCTGTGTCAAACATTCTGGTTTATATTAACAACTTCATTCATGCAGTTCTCCTTTGTTCTGGAGAAAGCTGTCAGAGAGCTGCCTCAGCTGCAGTTTGAAAAAGAGTTCTCGATACTTCTGAGTGCCCATCAAATTCGTAATGCTTTTACTATTATTTATTTTACATAGATCATAAAGCAAATATAGTGATGGGTGACCAAACAGAGCCATTGAACACTACCATCTACCTTTTAATAATGACAGATTTTACCATGGTATATCAATTTAATGTTGACACATCTCATGGTTCTTTTCTTTAAACATTACTGATGTATGTATGTCAAATTACACAAAAGTAAAATGGCTTAATTTGGCAAAATTACACTTATTAGCTAACTACTTTAACAAGCCAATATATTATCAACTTTTCAGTTTCTAAGGTTGACACTCATCAAGTTACTCAAAAGCGCCTCTTACTTTAAGAGTGCCAGCCAAACAGGTGAAGCACACACCACTGTTATTTCACACAACTTTGATTATCCCCTTTCTTGCTCTTTTTTGCTCTTTCAAACCGGTTGTTGCATTTTTGTCCTCACCCTCTTTCACAGCTTTTCCTTTTTTCCTATATATTCCCACTCAAGATCTAATTCTGCAGACTGGGCCTCAGGCTGTCCTTTAGTAAACCTTCCACTAGTAAAATGTTTTCCCACTATGTCGTGAATACATCAGTATTCCAGTAGAGGGAGGAAAGTGGCAGCAGAAAGATCAGTTCATCAGTTCAGTGCACAAGACCGATTAGTCAGAGAGGAGGAACAGGGGCAGCTGAAAAACTAATTTTACAAGGACTGGAGGTGGAGAGAATTTTCTTTTCCCACAAACTCACTAGGCTGAATATATGTTTGGGTTTTTTTAAGCACACAAGTTCAGTTCTCTTAAACTGTTTCCATAGTACATGGATACATTGATGATTTTAGGGAAAACCCTGAAAATTCATCATGTTAGAAGGAGATCAGAATTGAAAACACATGTACAAGCTGTAGACTTTGAACAGAGGTGACTATTATGAATCTGATGCATCCAGCTCAGGAGTACGGTCATCCAAAGCTTCTGTGGCAATCAGCAGAGAGCCAGGGATACTTTTGGGATCAGTTTCATCCTTCCTGGTCCAAAGAACTTTTTGAAGAAGCCCTTCTCTTCCCACCAACCACAGGAGTAGTCAAGGATGAACATGCACATAAATTAGGCACTTGCATTAGGCACCCAGAATTAAGTGGGATGAACCTGGTCAGGAGTGGGCAGAACACTCAAGTGTAGAAAGCACTGCCAATGCTCTTTTAAGGGAGCAAAAAGGGGACCAGAAACCCTACCAGTTCAAAGGGCTTAAAGGACTTAATTGAGGAAGCAAAATAACCCAAGAAGTAACACTGGGACTGAGACTGTGTGAACCACCACAGACTACTCGCACATGTGAATGAGAACAGAGAAAAAACACGGAGTCAAGTTAAGCTCAGATAAAACAAGGAAAAGGAAAAATGTCAGGCAGGAAAACAGCAGAAACAGTGGATGATGTAGAGAAAGCAGCTAAATAATGGGGTGAAGAAAGCATAAACAGACAAACAGAAAATATAACACAGCCTAAAGAAAGAAAGAGAGAAGAAACAAAACATACAGAAAAGGAAAATCCACAGTTTTAAAGCTCACTAAATAGATTTAACAACATATTAAACGTGGTTGGTGATACTATGATTAAATTTATGCCTACAAGCATGCAACTGCTTAAAACTGCAGAGGATGGTTATTTCGTGGCTTGACACTGCAGGCTTTTCTTCACCTGTATTGGCAGGTTTCATTCTTTCACCAAGTGGTCTGGGAAAGCCATTCGAACAGGGAACACCTACCTCAGCTGTTTAGTTAGAATCTGTAAGACACCCTCTATATAGGACCTGAGATATGATAACTCTTAACTGTAATGAAAATGGAAGGATGAATCTGCAGCCCTGAACTCTTTCAAGAACAGAAGTACAATGATACAATTCACCAATGATTTTCCACAATGAAAGTGAAAGGATGCAAGAATTGAAGTGTGAAGGGAGAGACAGGGAGAACCTGTGAGGGTGTCACTTCATCAGTACTCAGAAGAAAGAAAAAAAGTGAATTCACAAAAAAGTCTGTCAAGCAAAAGATGTGAGGGGTATTATGGCATTAAAGGAAATCAAGTAAGCTAATTCTAACCAAAAGGTATGAAATGATCAAGAAGGTCTTAAAAACTAAGAACAAATACTATTAGTGAAGACTTGTCAGTAGATGAGATTCAGGATGAAATGACAACTCAAGTAGCTGATACACTGAAGTGAAGTCCTGACCCTCCTGTCAGCTCCTGCTGACAGTGGTAGAACTGGCAGTACATTTTGTGCATTTTAAAATGTCTCCACTATAAGAGGTGTAAGTATATAACTGGGCAAGTAGGGAAGCAAGAGATTAAAAAGCTCATAAAAATCAGGATGTCCAGATGATGAGAGATCTAGTCATAACAAAACAGACTATTTCATTCAAGCCCCACTATAGAAAAATATTAAAACATTAAGAAAAGCACCTTATGGTAATCTGTAGTTCCCTCTCACCTCCAGTGAAATCAGGCAACTTCTCCTTTTATAACTATACACAGGACTGCAATCCCACAGAATAATAATCATGAACAACACACAATAAAAAATTATACAACAAACCATGCCAGTCTATTATCCTTTTTCCCACAGATCATGGGAACAGGTTGATGTGTATAATTTTATTTATGAGTAACACTTCAAAGGGGGAGCTGAAGATGCTCAGAAGTGCTGGAATACAGCTACTTTAAATACTGGAATATGAAATTATTGTGGATATCTACTATAAACCACATGTATCAGGGGAAAGAACAATATTGTTAAGATTAGAAGACTAACTTAAAGTCTCCTTTTCTGAGGAGGAGGAATAAGGGAATGGAGGCTCATAAATGTAAGTAAATCTGCAAAGAATTCTGCATTAGGATGAAAATGCAATAGATGCCCCTATATGTTTATCCAAACATCACAATGACTATACTGAAGATAGTATAACATTTTTACAGCCAAATTATAAGCCAATGCCATTGTCATGTGTTAATAAAACACACAGTACCTAGCAAAACATTGCAACTGCTTTCTTCTTTACATAACTATCAAATATGTCTTAAATGCAAGTCAAATATCCACAAGAATTGATGACTGATCTAAAGCAGACTAAGGAGCATAAGGAATACAGGAATACAGATCTTTGGCCTGCTTAGGTGTCACTAAATACTGTCAATTTTTGAAGAGGATTTTACAGAATTTACTGAATAGTGGCATAAAGTTTTCAAGTGTTAAAGGTAAATAGGTAAAACTACACAAAATACACCCAGTTAATGATTTGGAAATGAACCTAATTTTATCAATTTTACATAAGGTATGAAATCACCTTTTAAATTTGGAAATGTTAAAACAATTTCAACAACCTAACTATGCTA